TATCTCTCCCTCGCAAAGGTATATTTTTGCTCATCACCCATAGTATCCCCCTTTTCTTTCTCATCATTCTAATTATTCTAATGTTGGGTTTTCCTTTTAAGAGTGCTTGTCTGTAGCGTAGGATTTTAAACATGTAGTTTTCGCTAAATGGATTCTTAGGTGATGTAAGAAGAATGATTTGTCTCGAATTACGAGTTTTCATGGGGCTTTAGTCCGTTTCATATGTTTAGACAATAACGGAAACCCAGCCTAAGATTCCAGCTTCTTCTAAAGTTCTATGGTTTAATGGCTAATTTACCAAGAAAAAAAAAAGTGTATGGTTAATTTTAGACCAATTTACTTACTGAAGCATTGCACCCCCCCAAAAAAAAAAATATCATACTCAGTGCACAAGACTGGCACTTAAAATTAATCTTAGCTCGAAAATATTGGTGAAATTATCATATTATAATGCAACATTCCGGCAATACACCAAATCCTTGCTTGCATGAGCTTTAACACTAAAATTGGCATTAAAATCCATGTTTAGATAGATATGCAAAGATACATATTTTGAGCATGCAATTTAGAACCACCGGTGTTAGGGAACATGTGTAAAAGATTGAGTGCCACATTTTGGATAAATAGAAAAGGATTGGACTTTAATATACAATTGAGTGACTTACCACTTACAAGGTTTTAGCCTTTTAAGTAGATATGGGTTATCCAATGTATATTGGGTCCAGCTGATGAGGTGTGAAATATGTAGATAATCCTCAACGAATTGAGCCTACGTGCACATGGAAAAACCTTTGGCGGATTGGACTCCCAACAACCAGGTTGCAGAACCAAATGCCTTGTGAGAGATATTTTGTTCTGCTCGCTCCTTAATGAGGCAGTAGAAACCTAAGGGAAAGTCGCGAGTTCAAAGTCCCTATGGTCATATGACGCCATGGGGGAGATAGCTACACTAATTACCTCCTCCACCAACTATTTTGCTAAGGAAAAAAATTCAGAACCACCAGGAAATACTCATTAAAATCCCATGCATCTAGATTAATTTAGCACATATATATACATTTTCAAGCAAAACTAATTTGTTGGACCATAATTATGTTTGTGTTTCTAAAAAAATAAAATAGAATTAAAAAATTGTTGGACCAACCCACTTTTGGGTATTGATAGGAGGGGACAAACAAGATCTCATCAAAAAAGATCAAACTTCAAGAAACCCATTAATTAGTAGTGGGCCTCCATTTATCTATTTAGATGTTTGTATGTGAAACATGTTTGTTTTCCCATAGCAGCTAAAACTGGAATTATTCAATGATTATGGAAAAGTTTAGGGGGCATGAATGCAGTGAGTGAAGCAAATGGGGTCTAGGTGGGGAGCTTTTGAGCTTTGGATATGGTTTTTTAGTAAGAAAGAAAAAGTTTGCAAAAAGAAAGAAAAGTTTGCAAAAACTTTAAGCCTCTCAATTTCGGGCGACTAAAATTGATAGCAAGTAAATAGTAAACGTTCTTATTGGAAAATACAAGGGAAAAAAGTTGACGATTTATCAAATTGACGCAATCTATACCTGTTAATTTCCTGCGAATTGCTTAGATTCTCCAAGTTTAACTCCAAATTTAGCAGATCTATGTTATTTTAAAGTTTCGTAAGTGCAACAATTTTGAAAACATTCACTACTTTAAAAAAAAAAAAACAGCTCAATATAGTACTGTACTACAGTATCTTGTGATCACAGAGATAATAAATAGACTTGATACATTTATGATGGTGGGGCATGGGATCTTGTCCCCCATCATGCCATGTCATGTCCATATGTATTGAGCCATTACATCCCATTGTCTTAACGTATGGAATGACCCATGCCATCCATTATAAAGTTAGAGCATCCGCAGTGGGAATAATCAAAATCAATAATTAAAATGTGCCACGTCAGCATTTGATTATCCATTTAGTTCATAATCAAACTTAACAACCTCTATCTCTACATTGGTTATTTTTGCATCCCTAACTAAAAAAAAATCCCAAAATACACAATGCACCTATGTCCAATCTCAAACGAGTTTCAATCACGCATCCGATCACACTAAATTATTCGTCTCGATGAGGCGATTCCAATGAGGGGTGTTTTTGAGTTATTGAGTTTTGAGTTTCCTTATTGGGTTTGGTTATTGAGTTTTGGTTATTGGTAAAAGTTGTTAAGTTTGGTTATGGAATAGGTGGAATTTGATTATTTGTTAAAAGACTTGTAACTTTGCTTATTACAATGTGAGGTATTTTTTGAGCATTATTGTTAAGTTTGCTTATTCATATCCATTTGATTATTACAATGCGGATGCTTAGGAGTCTACAAATTAGGACCCACATGAGCTTTGCATGCAGAGAAGGTGTGACTTGTCTAGGATCTAGATGGCTCCAAATCGTGCATTTGGTCTACCCTCTCTGTTCTCTGATGTGTTCTCAAGTAAACTAACCATCTTTGTCCTGGACAGTTATTCTACGGTAATTGTTGCAGACCGAATAATAATTGAAGCTATCTCACAAGTATATATGTATTACGCGAATAATTCTAATCAGCGAAAGTATCGTGCGTTGTGAGTAAGCTCCGCTATTTGGTTCCAAATCGTGTGAGAAGCTCCGGTATTTGGTTGCGGACCACATGCACGGTGAGTAGGGGTGACAAATTGAATCCAGACCCATTAACAAATCTAAACCCATCAACTAAAAAATAGACCCAACCCAACCCATTTATTAGTTGTGTAAGAATATGGGTTCAAACCCAACTAACCCATTATTAATTGGGTCTTAATTGAGCATCAATTGGGTCAACTAAAATGACCCAATTGGTCATGAAAGTAACCCACCGAAATTCCCTTTATCTTTACCGGAAGATTTCACTGGTAAAATTCCCGACCAATCTGGAAATGGTCATACAAAGATCCACCCAGGGGCCTTTCTCATTCAGTGGTAAACCTTACCAAATTCCCGTCTCTCTCTCTCCCTCTCTTTTATTCAATTCTTCTGTGTTAAATTATACGCGTCCAAAAATATTTTAAATGGTCCTGATTAAAAATCAATTGTGACGGATAATAATATTTTGACCAATCAAAATTGGAAACACATCTCATCCATTGATTTCGCGAATTGACTGATAAAAATGCGCTCCACCGTGAATAAATTTCTCTAATGTTAGTCACGCATAGGGTTTAGATTAAAAAGTTAAGTGACCTATTTTTTTGTCCTTATTTTCAAATTTTTTTGCATCTTTTTGTTTTGCGTCAAACTTTTGTGACTTATTGATTCGTTTCGACGAGAGGAATCGGAAATGTAAAAAAATTTGATCGAAACTTATAAGTTTTTTGAATAAAGACAAAAATAAATCAATAAGACAAAAAAATTTACTTATTCTTGTCTTTTTGAAAAAATTTATGAGTTTCGATCATAATTTTTTACTTTTCCGATTTTTCTCAATGAAACGAATCACTAAGTCATAAAAATTTGACGCAAAACTATCAAATACAAAAAAAAATTAAATAAAGACAAAAAAAAAAGATACATACATCTCACAACGGGCTAGTATTGATTCTGATCAAATGGAAATTTACAGGTACAAACAAATATACATCTTGCAACAATTTATTATAGAGAAAACCCTAACACTTTATACAAGTCCCAAATTTTTCTCTGTACCTGCTCCTTGAAATGTGTTTAGAGAGAGAAAATTCAACTTATGAATGAAAAGTTGGCTTGTTCGTGGCTTATTTTTTTGTTCTTATTCAATTTTTTTGGCATTTGTTTGTTTTTCGTTAATTTTTTTGTGGATTAATGCTTCGACATGACAAGAGGAATCCAAAGGGTAAAAAATTATGATCAAAACCTAAAAAGTAAAAATAAAAGTCACTTGGATACGCTGCAATTCGGTAATTAAGAGTGACCAATATGGTAATTAAGTGTACATAGGTAATCTGGTCATTTTTGTAGCAGAGGGATAGTATGGTAATTTTAGTGTACATGGTATTTTACTCCTTTAAATTTACAGGGGTAATATGGTCATTTTAGTGTACATATGTATTTTAGTCATTTAAGTATATAGTATGTAATTGGGTTAACGGGCGGGTCGGGTTTGCTTTAAAATAAATGGGTTAGGTTGGGTATGGGTAATTAGACTCATAATTAATGGGTCAATGACCTATTAAAGACCCAACCCATTTGCAACTTACCCATTTTGGCCCAAACCCACCCATTTGACACCCCTAACGGTGAGGAGTAGCTCCGGTATTCTTTTACTTGGTATTTGGTTGCTATACTCACAATGCATAGTGTCGAATCGTGCATTGTGAGTAGCTCCGGTATTTGGTTGCGGAACACATGCATGGTGAAATTATCGTGCAATGTGTTCAACTAAACGATTCAACTGTGATATCGTGTCTAGAACAAATACCAGAGAGAATCTGAACCCTTACAGTGGTCATTGTGTTGTACTCTATCTGTGCCAATTTGGTTGTCTAATATTGAGAATCCAACTTATTCAGGGAGCATAATCTAAAAGTATATTTTCACCTTCAATTTTTTTGAAAAGTTTTTTTTTTTTTTAAAGCAAGGGCAGAAAAGAAATTTTATCCATTTAAAAATCAAACAAACAAACAAATTGGAACAAGGCAAAATCAAAAAAATGAACAAACAAAATCAGAATGGAAGAAGTATGAATTAAACGAAGTGGGCCCTCCTTGATGTAGGCATCTTTCTATTTCTGGAGGTGAGAGCAGCCAAACAAGATGAATCATGACTTGTTTATTTATTTTTTGTCAATCGATAGAATGGGATAAGAGAAGGGGTGTTGTAATTCGAAGCGACAAGACTCAAACCTAGGTATTTTACCTGATTAGGGAGTGCCACTACAACTAGGCCAATCCCGTGGTCTTCTTGTTTATTGTTTAGATGTGTAGGAAGACTCACACCTACAAGAAAAGCTAAACTATAAATAATATTACTCACATAAAGTTTCCACAAACCGACTTTAGCTCAGTTGGTAGAGCGGAGGACTGTAGTGGGTAAATCCTGGCAGAATATCCTTAGGTCGCTGGTTCGAATCCGGCAAGTCGGAAATCGACTTTTTCCTGTTTTCTTTCTTTGGTTTGCGCACAATCTCAGTTTCTATTTTTGAAAAAACAGAACTCCTTACCATTTTTTCTGGCTGCAGTTTTTTATTTTATTTTATAGAATTCAAAACCATCTTCCCGTATTTTTTGAACAATAAATTGCTTACAAAAAGACTCGAGATATAGGTCTTCAAAACTGTTAAGCTAAGTACATTTTGTGCTTGTGTTTTCGATAAAAAAAAAAAGAGGCTAAAATTAAAAAACAAACCGGCGACAACTATGCATTTGTCTCGTGGTTTCGGATGTATATAGTAGACAGCCCCGGGAGAAAAGTCCACGAAACAAATAAGGGCAAGCCCGTGATAAGATCATTATTTAGCTTTTGTGCGCAAGTTGCTTTGCATAACTCAAGCCCACACCAAAATACACATAGTGTTTGCCACTTGGCTACTTGCTATCACGCCTTTCAAAGAATAATATCCGTATTTTCCTTGTGGAAACAGTCGATGTAAAACTCCATTTGTTACCCCTGGATATATTTGTGCGACATCTGGTGAAGTCAACCAAACATCAATTCCAGTAGAAAACTATATCCTGAATAAATCACTTGCACCGTAGTTAAGAGCATTAGTCAAGAACACAGCTGCAGTTGATCAAATCTAATGGCTTTCTTGATCACTCAATCTACTAAAGCCCTCTATAATTAACAAAAAAGTTTTATATTTTAGCACACGCTGCATAATGGCTGTGGCAATGGTTACAGCCATAATAATAAGAAGAAGAAGAGAGAGAGAGAGAGAGAGAGAGAGAGTTCTTCTACCTATTTCAACCGGTATATATATAGTAGGCATACTTCTTTCAGAAGCATATGATTAATCATCTGCTTCTTCACGTTCTGTGAACAAACAGGTCAATAAATCTTGTAAACAAGAAAGCCCTACTGTTAGGAGTGATTGCTTAGTTAGCTTTCCAGCAAGTAAAGGACAATGAAGAGGACGAGAGCATACCAATCCCCGAGCGGTGCACTCCCTATCTACGTGTTCTTTCCTCTTTGTCGTTCACTCACTACCTCGTATGCTCCTACCCGCTTCTGCTTCCCGATTCGACCCATTCCTTCAAGTTGGATTAGGGGCAGTAGCCCTTTCAGACTTGAATTCCAATTAAGCTGGACTAATAGCCTTCGACGGTGAGAGAACCAGCTTCCATAACACCACTTGCCTTTAAATGAAGATGTATATATTGTTAAACCTTACTCCCTCTGTCCCTTTTTAAGTGTCCTACTTCGTAATTCCAACATATTAATAAGATATCATCATTACACATTTTCACATCAATTTTTATCTCCACTTTTCCTCCTTACCCTCTATGAAAACATCGTCATTATATTTTTACTCACTAACTTTTCAAAATGAAATCTACTTTTAGAGTCAAAATGGAAAATTCACCCATTTTTATCTACTAACTTTACAAAATAGACACATTAAGAAACAACCCAAAATGGAATACTAAACTCCAAAATGAAATACTAGACTCTAAAAAAGGGGCGAAGGGAGTAATAGATTGTCTTGTTCTAGAGTCCATAATTAGAGAATCTGGTACTTACACATGCACCTCTGGCCGAGTCAACGCAACATAGGGTGGTAGCTATTCTTTTACATGTTCAGCACCTTATCTGAAAGGACTAATAATGCATTCCACAATCTGCTTTCACAGGTACAACCACAAGTACATGCACAATTCTCCTCTAAAGGAGGGGCCAAAAATGCAACAGGGAGGGTAGAAAGTAAAAGAAGGCTCAATGACAGCAGGGATTCAAACCCACCACAGTCCTACCCTCGACACACAAAACTGATCAATAATGCGTCCCACAATCTGCTTTCACAGGTTTAACCACTAGTCCAAGCACAATTTCCTCTAATTAAGAGGCAAAAATGGAACAGGGAGGGTCGAAAGTGAAGGAAGGCTCAACGACAGCAGGATTAACAACCCACCAGTCCTACCATCAACACACGCAAAACTGATCAATTGAGTTCTCACATTACCACCTGCTCCATAGAGATCTTAATTTCGTAATATAGTGAAGCCCTTCTGAGGAAAACATTATGATCTTCAGTCAAAAGTTGAAGCAGAACATGCACATACCCATGAATAAAATCTCAAATGATTCCCAGGTCAGGTGATGAGTGCATCTCAGTTTTAATTTTTCAAAACATACTCTACCTAACAAAAAAAAAAATGTTCACAAACCCAACTGGGGAATGATTATAGTATAAGGTTGGACGGAATGGGAGGATTATTCTTTCGCAGGTGGATGGAAACAGCCATTTGGACTAGAATCGAACGGGTCGCATTCCTCTATATTTGAATCTAGTTGTGTAAATGCTTCGACCAACTCACCAAACAAAGTCATAATTCTTGCCTTATAAATTAGTTTGCTTAATGATAATGAAGTGTCTAATAGAAAGATTCCTCTCTTTCTGAAATAATTCATAATTGTTCACACCATACTCGCACCAAGTTTATCTTTTTCATTTTCACTAACTTTTCAAGTATATGGAGAACATTCTAAGCACTCACATTCCAACCTATGCTGCCTTCCTTTTTGCGCATTTAAGACAAGTTGCCTGCTACATACACGTACACATACAATAAGAACAAGATAAGTAGGTTATTGGATTCAACAGCGGTAAATGAAGCACCTAGAACAAAGTCAAGAAAGGTTTACAACGCACATGTATCATGAAAATCTTGTGTAGAAAGAATATTATCAACGGAGGCCCTACAGCTAGGGTAATTTTGCACAGTAACACCTACCGATGATCTATTCAAAACCCTAACAGATACCGAAAACAATAATATCCCCTTAATAACTTACCAACAAAAAAAACAAAACCCAAATATACATATCTTACTAGTATGCTACATTCCATGTCAAAGCAATCAAACCCTTTCCAGAAGATGCCGTTCGTATCTGTGATACTGATCCATATATATGGCCCAAAAGAATGGTGGACATTGTAGTCAGTTGCTTGCCTATCAAACTGCTAGCTGCAATAACATTTATTACTAGTAAGACCAGCAATCCAAATTAGTATTCTAGTAGAGAAAATCTTATTTCCAGAGCAGCCGGAAACAACTTGTTTACAACAGCAGTCCATCGCGACCATCAAGTGCGGATTTTAAACTTTTCCAGGGAAGAGTTAAAAAGTGTTTTGGACGGTCCGAATTTTAATGAAACTTTCCCAGGGAAGAAGTTTTTGGAGAACAGCTCTTCCCCGGAAAAAGTTTCATTAAAATCCAGACCATCCAAAACACTTTTGGACGGTCGCGATGGACTGCTGCTGTAAAAAAAGTTGTTTCTGGCTGCTCGGGAAATAAGTATTTCTCATTCAAGTAAATATACAAACGCTACAACCTTAACAAAACAAAAACATACTATAGATCTGACAAACCAAGATAAACCAAAGACCCATAGCTTATTGAATGTGCCAAAACATCAAATACTATTGCCGAAGTCGAACAATCATCGAGAACTAACATGGAAGTAACGACACTGATATAACCTGAATTTGACGATATAATGCGAAAAAGGGAAAAAAAATTCCTACATGTACATGAGAACTGAAAGACACAATAAACTCCTTTAAAGTGGTTAGGCAAACGAAACGATTCTGTTGTGTTGGGATACGTTAAAAAAGACTCCTTGTAAAAGTATTTTCAGCATTCTCAGTACTTCTCAATATGATCAAAGTGGGAAAAAGAGTAAGAGAAATATAATTAAATGCAGCATTGAAGTCCACATCAGTATCACACTTCCAATGAAACCACCATAACATAGCTCAAACAGTTTACAAGCTAACAGTAACAATGACATCTGATAGAGGACAAATATTGGTAACAGCCAATACTAATAACAAACTGAAATCAAGAAAAGCCAAAGTTACCTCCTTCACAAGGTTTTCCTGGAGAAAAGTTGCAATCTGTCCTCGCTTAAACAACTTAGTAATCCTGAACTTAAGTCGTGTGTGTATTTCACATCTCGAATCGGATGCGTCTGAGATTTAAGATGCTGAACCACCATAAAAGATGGCAACTCTTGCAAGCCGACTTCACACGTTACTTCGTTAGTAGAGGCAAATTGTAGGTTTTGATTGTATATAATTGCAGATTTTGGCAGTCGTACTTCATTTACAGACGCACATGTTGATCCTAACTTCTGATAACAACTGTTACCCAAAGCCTTGTATAGAACATGGGTGCCCCATACTCCTTTCCCCATTAGAGAGGTGACAGGAGAAAGTGAAGGCTGAGAAACAACCGTATCATTAGACATCTCAATTTTCGGACGAAAGGAAGCAACGATATGATTACTGCTTGGACAATAAGCAAGAGCTATACAAACTCCTTGATTCTCTGATCCAGGAATCAAAAATGTCCTGCATCAAAAGTTAAATAAATTGTCAGAACCCCAAAAATAAAGCACAATACAGAACATGTTAGAGTATTTGGACACTATTACTTTCAAAAACATCAACAGGCTTGAGGAATCAGACTGTTATTTTTCAATTTACGATGTAAAACAAAAAAAAAATCCTATTATTAAGTTTGCCTCAATAAAATATAAGTCTCTTAGGTGGTGATGTTCTGAACTAGGTTCTAACCATTCAATCAAAAAACAATCGAGCCAGACCTCAGAGCACAGTCCTTCATCACCATGGAAACCAGTGGGAATATATTTCCTCCAAATTTTACAGTTCATAGTCACTGGCGAAGGGATAGATTTGGCTAGTAATGGAAAGCAAACCTATCATCACTTGATTCCATATTACGGAAACCTCCATTCACTCAGTCATTGAGTCTCTTCCGAAAGAAGAGAGAAGTCCACCCAAAAAACGTGTAGTGAGAATTTTCAGACCCATAATGCTTTATAGCTAGACAAGAAAGCCATGTCTAGATACATTTGGGCTATTGCTAGTAAACCCAACTCTCTTTGGAATAAATGGAT